TCTCCCCAGGAGCGAATCAAATTGAAAATAGGGAATTAAGTCAATGTTACATAAAGAGCAGTGGTGATGGTTACATGCTGTGGAGTCCATTCTGATTCAAAGCCACCCTGTAGAGGGTTTCTGAGGCTGTAAACCTTTACAGGAGCAGAAAGCCTCCTCTTTCTCTCCTCGAAGCTGGTAGTTTCGAACTGCTGACCTTGAAGTTAGCAGCCCTATTGTTGTTGTTAAGTGCTGTCGAGTCGATTCTGATCAATAGCGACTTTGTAGAGGGTTTCCAAAGAGCAGCTGGCGCGCTTAAACCACAGACCTTGCAGTTCAAACACTTTGCACTCTGACGCATTAGCCCACAGCATCACCATGACTCCAGCAGCCCTATTACTCTGCCCAATACCCAGATCACTGGGAGAAAAGTGATCATCTTTTCTGAGGAATCTGACCACCATGAGAGAAACACCCCAAACTGGTGATATGGGGTTCCTCACTGAAGCAGGTCAGCCAAATCACACCCCAGTGAAGCTTGTAATCACTAAGTCACAGCTCTGCCTACAAAAGAACCAATTCATTTTTTAGGGACCACCCACCAGCCTTTCCTTGGAAACCCTATGCAGGGCCACTATGAGTCAGAACTGACTCGATGACACGTAACAGCAACAATCTCATAAATATGAGTCATTAGATGCTTGAAGAAAACATCAACATGGAAGACAGAGTGAAAATCAAATCAAACAACAGAAACATCTTATCCCCATAAGAATAAACAACAACATACACACACAAAAACAGAAAACACAAATATAAAGGAAACAGAGTATAATAGGAACAGAAAAAAAAAAAAAAAAAAAAACTTCAAAAGATATGTAAATAGTATCTCCAAAAAGTTAAATGATAAGACATTACATCCATGGAAAGAAAAGGATGTTATTTAAAGATCACTTATGGAAAAAAGAAACTTTTGAAATATATCAGTTGAAAACTATAATGTCAGATTTTGTATCCCTGTCACTCTCTCCAACACTAAAAATTTCTGATGATTTATATACAAGCATTGATGATCTTCCCAACATCCATCCTGGCCTCTCAGTAAGATGGAAAGACTGTGGTGTCCTTGAGATCAAATAAAATATCTTAAGGAAGAAGAGTGATCAACTAATTAAATATTGTTATTAATTAATTAATACTATTATTGTGTTGTTATTAATTTTGTATTGTGTGTTATTTGTATAATGTTGTTATTAATTCTTTAAATATTGTGTGCCGTGGAGTCAGTTTCGACCCATAGCGACCCTGTACAGGGTTTCTGAGGCTGTAAACCTTTACGGGAGCAGAAAGCCTCATCTTTCTCCTGCAGAACAGCTGGTAGTTTTGAACTGCTGACCTTGAGGTTCACAGCCCAATTCTTAACCACTACACTACCAGAGTTCCTTAAATATTGTTGTAGATCAAGTAAAATTAAGACTAATATTTAAACTCTTCTCCTCCAAAGATCTTGTCCTCTACACATTCCTATGATCAGCAGTCTAGTCCTTATCAAGATATAACTGTGACTCCACCATCACCTCAGTTTCATGTTTTCTGTATCTGATTACCATCATCCCACTCCCTCTGGTATCCTAACTCCAACAAGCCGGAAACTGCACTCCATCAACCCTGCCATGTATTCTCTATCACTCGCATCCTCGTGTCCTCTCCTCCCATGTTCAACCATAATCATTGCCAACACACGCGAAGGAAAATACTCACGTAAACTGACTGCTCTCAAGTTCATGGTTATGACTTCAAAGTCAATGTACCTGGCCACATAATATAATTTCCCTCTATGTAGTCTCACATTAGCTTAGATGACTACTCATATCTCTTTCCCTTCAAACACCTCTTACAGCATGCTTCCTGAGGTACTAAGAAAATGAAATCAGATGAGAATGTCCACAATTTACTACCACAACACCATAATCTGAACCCCAAAGACTCTGAGTTCCTTGTTAGCTTAGGTAAGCTATGCCTCCTCCTACAATGATCACTTCCTGTGTATTCTAGATTCCACCTCCTCTTGTCTCCATCAATTCTCCCTCTCTCTCAGTCATCTCTTGCTCCCTACTAGATCATTCACATCAGCAAACAAACATGGTGTTACTTCTACATCTTTAAAATATGTGTCTTCCCTTAACATCTCTTCATCACCAGTTATTGTTGTTAGGTGCTATCAAGTCAGTTCTAACTCATAGTAAGTACAACAGAGCAAACCACTGCCTGGTCCTCAGTCACCATCACAATCACAGCTATAGTTGAGCCTGCTGGTCAGCCCAGCTCATTGAGGTTTTTCACTGACCCTTTACTTTACCAAGTATGATGCTCTTCTCCAGGACACAGGTCTCTCATGAAAGCATATCCATATTCTGAGAGATAACACCTCTCTGTCTTCACATCTAAGGGGCAATCGGCTATACTTCTTCTGAAAGAGATTTTTTGTTCTTCTGGTAGTCCACGGTAATATCGATATTCTTTGTCAACACCATAATTCAACACATTAAATCTTCTCTGGTCTTCCTTAGTCACTGTCCAGCTTTCACATGCATATGAAGCAACTGAAATGTCATGGGTTGGATCAGGCATATCTTAGTCCTCAAATTGATATCTTTGATCTTCAACACTTTATAGAGGATTTTTGCAATATATTTCCCAATGCAATATGTATTTGATTCCTTGACAGCTGCTTCTATAAGTATTGATTATGTATCCAACTAAAATGAAATCCTTGGTAACATCAATATTTTCTCCAATTGTTTCTGTTGTTAGGTGCCTGCGAATTGCTTCTGACTTGTCATACCCTCTACACAACAGAACGAAACTTTGCCTGGTGCTGCACCATCCTCACAATTGTTATGCTTGAGCCCATTGCTACTTCCACTTTGCCAATCCATCTTGTTGGGAGTCTTCCTCTTTTTCACTGACTCTCCACTTTACTGAGCATAATGTTCTTCTCCAGGGCTGGTCACTCCTGACAACATGTCTGACTTATGAGAGATGAAGTCTAGCCATCCTGACTTCTAAGGGTCAGTCTAATTGTACTTCTCCCAACACAGATATGTCTGGCAGTCCATGGTGCTTTCAATATTCTTCCCATATACCATAACGCAAATGCATCAATTCTTCTTCTGTCTTCTTTATTCATTGTGCAACTTTCACATAAGGAGCTCTGGTAGTGTAGTGGTTAAGAATCAGGCTGCCAACCGCAAGATCAGCAGTTCCAACTACCAGCAGTTCCGCAGGAGAAAGATGAGGTGGTCTGGTCCCATAAAGACTTAAAGCCTTGGAAACCCTGTACAGGATCTCTATGAGTCGGAACCAACTCCACAGTACTTAACAACAATAACAACTTTCACATGCATATGAGACTATCATGAATTGGGTTAGGTGCACCTTAGTCCTCAAACTAACCTCTGTTCTTGAACAATTTGACGAGGTCTTGTGTAGCAGATTTACCTAAAGCAATATGTTGTTTGATTTCTTGGCTACTTCTTGCATACGTCTTGATTGTGGATCCAAGCAAAATGAAGTATTGAGAACTTCAGTTTTTTTCTCCATAAGGAGCTCTGGTAGCGTAGTGGTTACGAATCGGGCTGCAAACCACAAGGTCAGCAGTTCCACGGGAGAAAGATGAGGATTTCTGCTCCGGTAAAGATTTACAGCCTCGGAAACCCTGTACAGGGTCTCTGTGAGTTGGAATCGACTCCACGGCACATAACAACAACAACATGATGTTATTTATTGGTTCAGTTGTAAGGATTTTTGCTTTCTTTACATTAAAACTGTGGTCTTTGATCTTAATCAGTATTTTAAATAGTCATCACTTCTAGCAAGCAAGGTTTTTAATAAATCTTCCTGAAATCATGTTCTTCTTTAGATAATACAGCTTCTCAAATTATTTGCTCAACACACAGATTGAATAAGTTTGTTGAAAGAATACAACACTGGCATACACCTTTCCTAATTTTAAACCATTCAGTGTCCCCTTGTAATTCACAATCCTACAGAGCCACCACATTTCCTAAGCCAAACAATGTTGTTAAATGTTCTGACTCATACAGACCCTGAGCAGTAGGGATCCTGATGAGTGGCTGGTGAGTTTGAACTGCTAACCTTGTGGTCCAATGCTTATACTACAGCACCACACCTGCCTTATACGGTTTTAAAAGATTTATCTACATGTGATCAAATTAGCATGAGCAACTCTAAAAGTTGGCTAGGAAGCTTGGGGGCAATGAGATTATGTTAATAGGGAAGGAACACCTCAAAAAGGGGGGAAGACCAACTGCACAACTTGAAACATATAATCAATATCACTGAATTGTACAGATAAAAATTATTGAGTTGGTGTATGTTTTGCTGTGTATATTTGCAACTACGATTTAAAAAAGAAAAAGAAAAAGAAAGATGGGGATACGAGAATAGCAGTAGTAGGAAATGAAGTGGTTTTGCCAAGAAAAGAAAAAAGATATGGGTGCAGAGTGGTGGGGTGAGGAGCTAACACCAAACAAAGTCATGGGAAAACCCAAAGTTTGTTGAATGTCCTTACATTTATGAGGTAAACATCTAAGTGTTGGTAAACATTAAGTTCAGTGTCCTGAACTTAAAGGATTATTGGATCTTCTTAAAGGCGAGGGTTTAGATTTATTTTCCTGGGCACCAAACAGTAAAATTAAAGGCAAAAACATGATGGCAACACTTATCTATTAATATAGACATAATTTTACAACAGATGTGGGACCTAACTCCGGAGGCAGAGGTCTCCGTTCCCGGGTGTTTCTTGAAGAAGCAAAAGAAATCCCTTTGGCCAGGGAGCCCTCCCGTGGGGGCAGGGAGCCGAGGGTGTGTGAGCGGGAGGTCCAGCTGTTAGTCCTGGGCTCCCCTGGGAGCCCCGTGGGGGGCGGGACTGGAGGTCCAGAGTCGGGAACCGGGACAGCAGGAGGTTCTCAGGGTCTGCGGCCAGTGCAGACGCGGGGAAAGCTCGCAGCATGCTCGCAGCGGTCGGGAGCCTCCGGTACCTTGGCCTGGGGCTCATGGTCCGCTGCTCCCCGGGGGCGCCTCCAGGGGCAGCGCGGCGGCTCTCCGCTACTCTCCAGTCCCCGGGCCTCCTCCGCTACTCCAGCAACGGGGCCCCCAGCGGCTCTGGGCCCCAAATTCCGGGTGAGCCAGGATTCAGAGTAGTCTTCGCAGGCGGAGGGGCGCCACTTGCAGCCGGAATGTTCTGGGAGGGAGGGAGCTACAGCAGGGTGGACGCAGGGCTGGTGGCTATCTGGGTGGGAACCGAGACCTGAGTCAACGCTGACACACTGCCTTCGGTCTGTCCGACCGTTTCTCTATTCATCCCTCTTGCTTTCACAGCAGGGAATGTCCACAGGGTCCCCGCCGAGCACAAACCTTCGCATTTCGACAAGAAAATCCTGCTGTGGACCGGACGTTTCAAATCAATGGAAGAGATCCCGCTTTGGGTCCCGTAAGTGTGGCAGGCGGTGTGCGCTGGGGAGTGTGGGCCAGGAGCGCCGGGTCCATCTACCGCCGACCTGGGCGCACCTACCCATTAAAACCCGTAAGGATTTTACTTACGACCTCCTCTCACTCAAAAAAACTCACTGTCATCAAGTTGATTTGGATTCACAGTGACCTTGTATAGGGTTTCTGGGACCAGAGTGGATAGAAAGCCTCACTTTTCTTCTCCAGAGCAGATGGTGGATTTGAACTATCGACCTTGCAGACAGCAGTCTGTTGCTTATGCTACGCGCCAAACCAGGTCTCCTAGTGTTGCTAAATAACATCATGCCAAGTCCTTTGACCGTACAGTGATGGAGTTGATGAAAACTCCCAAGTTCATTGGGCACTTTCACTGTCGTTCACCTCTCTGCCCCCAGCGAATTCTGAGCGGCTATGCAGTCGTGGGGGAGTCCTGGTGTGGCTCTGCGGGCTAATGTGCTGGACTGCAAAATCGACTTGAACTGCAAGGTCGGCAGTTCAAGTTTACCAGCAGCTCCTTAGAAATACAGGGTCGCTTTGGGTCGGAACCAACTCCACGGCACTTAACAACAACAAGAACAACACGAGGTGGGGAAGCACTTAGACCAAACCGAAAGCACACGGATGGGTGTGTAGGCGCCAGACATTGAGAGGGGCTCTGCCCAGGGGCAGCTCCACGGACTCCACTGGCTAACCCGGCAGCTAGAGGCTCTCCTGGGAAGAAGCTGCTTCCATGCAGTCTTCTCTGTGGGGGTGGGAGACCCCTGGCAAACAAGGTCCTGCAGCTTTCTCAACTACAGGTTTACTCCTGCAGTCTCCTAACTGGACCACGACCGTACCCTCTGCTGTGGAGTTGATTCTGACTCATAGCGACCCTACAGAACAGAGTAGAACTGTACCATAGGGTTTCAGAGACTGTAAGTCTTTAGGCCATAGGGTTTCAGAGACTGTAAGTCTTTAGGGTGATAAAGCACCAGGCTGCTTTATCGCTCATCCACAAAGCTGCTGGTGGATTTGAACTATCGACCTTTGGGTTAGCAGGCCAATGCTTAACAAATTGTGAATTCTTTAAATGATAATATTCAAGCTAACAACTTCACCTCCAGGCAAGTAAATGTTTTTATTGTTTTCTGGTTTGTTTGTTTTTTAATCCTACAATAGCAGGTTATTATAAGTCTAAAAACTACTTAACGATAAAATCAACTACTTTTTAAAAACTGACCTTAAAAATAAAAGTGGTATTGCTGTTCAGTGTTGTTGCTAAGTGTGTAAGGTTTCCAGGGAGCAGATGGTGGTTTTGAATCATGGACCTTGAGGTTAACAGTCCAGTGCTTTTCCTATAGAGTCATACTAGGATCCCTTAAAAATAATTGTTGTTGTTGTTAAGTGCCGTCGAGTCGGTTCCGACCCATAGCGACCCTGTACAGGGTTTCCGAGAGTGTAAATCCTTACGGGAGTAGAAAGCCTCATCTTTCTCCCGCGGAGCGGCTGGTAGTTTCGAACCGCTGACCTTAAGGTTCGCAGCCCGATTCGTAACCACTACGCTAAAAATAATAGGGAGACTAAAATCAGGTGGTATAGGTTTTCAGATGTTCTTTTTAGTAGTTTTACACAATGTCATTAATGACCATCAAGAAAAGATGGCGGACAGCGTGCTGCACATATTGCATGCATCTGTATTGGTTATTAGTTTAGCAATTACCAAAATAAATGTCAAGGAACATGTGGGGGAGAGTGCTCACTCCATTATGAATTCTTAAATGTTTTTATATTCTTGGTTCAAGTTAATAAACTAGGAATGGTTTATAATGTGGAAGTTGAAATCTGCTTTTAGCATTTACTCAATTACAGAGACACTTTCAAAAATTATTTGCTTTCCTTGTGGCCTAAAAATTCCACATTGGTGTTGTTGCTGTGTGCCCTCTTTAGTTGTTTTTTTTTTAATGTTTTATTGTGAATTATATGATAGTTTACATGAGAGAACTTTAGTTTTACATTCATTCCATCGTATACTATCTCATTGCCATGGTTCCAATCCCCTCAATGCATCATCAACCAACCAAAGGGTATATCCTAGAAACCTGCCCCCTACACTCCCCACCTCAGTCTTAGGCCCACAGTCCCTCTCCCTCTGTGGATCCAAAGTCCCCAGCTGCTTCATCACTCCACGTCATTGTCTCTTGTCTCTATCTCAGGAATATCTGCTTCTCTGGGTAGGGTCCAGCTCTCAGCTCTTCTCCGTTGATGGTCCCAGAGACCTCCGCTCCTAGACTGGAAAATTAAGCACTCCCTTCCTTTTTACAAAACGTCTACCTTTGCATTTCCAACCCTCATAATCTGTCCTGATAAGCATTATTCACTACAGTATCACAAGTTACCCATCTGTATTTCATTTCATCAGCTCCGCCCAGACAGATTGAATAGTACCCACTGGAGATTCTGCCTTCCTCCATGCTCCCTAGTACTAGGTTCCCTCTTGAAAGCTTGTAAGCCAGTCACTTCTTGCCTTTGTAGTCTCCCGCTCCCCATTTGAGTATCCAATGTCCAAGTTGCCCATCTCTGTCCACTCTGTGTGTGGAGGGGGTGGGAATGTTTCTTGCTGTAAGTATTTGTTCCTTCTTTTGAGTTGCTGCTCCATAGGTATAGGTCAAGTTCATCAAATTGTATCAGCTCACTCTTTTTTTTTTTTGTTTTTTCCCTCTTCTTTCTTCTCCTGGTTGAGCTCTGATCATCCAGTCGTCCAGTCCAGGTCACATGGGTACCATCTGCAAGTGTGGGTGCTCCTGTGTACAATCCCTCTCTTCCCATCAGCTGGTAGCTCCATTCTCCACTCAAGTCCTCCGTGACCACGCCACTGACTCTGGCCCAAGAGTTCCCCGGTCTCCTTACACTGCTTGCCAACCAGGTCCCCAACTGGGTCCACAGAAGCGCACTGAACATTGTAGGGCTTAGCTTGCCGCTTCATTGCTGCTTTTACCCCACTTCTCCCCATTGGTGTGGTCACCAATCAGAGCGTGCATTTCCGTTGAGTCTTAGTCTTGGAAGGGGGTTTGCATTGAGAGGACCTGGCCACTTGCCTTGATGTTTCCTAGGGAATCGATTTGTTTGTTCTTGTAATAGTCCATCTGCCTCCATTGTTTTGCATTTTTCCTGCAGGTCTTTCTTTCAAGAAGTATCTTTTGTTATTTTAGCTGCTCCAGGCTGGTCTGATCCTCCTTTCAAGTGGAGATTTCTCATCTCTGGAAATCTGGATGTGGTTAAGGTTTCTACCTATAGTTTTATATTTTGCAAAGGCTCCGCAGGAAGCCTCGTTCACTGGGTACTCTGTAGCCCTATTTTAGGTATTCCAATCAGTCATAGGCAGAAGACAGACTTAAAAGCCTTTTAGTGTGATGTTTCTGACTATTCCTTTCTCTCCCTCTCCAGTGTCTACTCTGTGCTGCCCGGTCAGGGAAGTGCTGTCCCCTTGGGCTCAAGTTAGTTTTGACTCATAGTGACCCTGTATAGAGTTTCCAAGGAACTGTCGAAGTAGTCGGTTCGAATCATAGTGACTCTGTATAAAGAACAATTCACCTTGGGTTTAGCAGTCCAGTGCTTATCCTACAGCGCCATACCAGGACTCCACAAATCTCACACAATTAAAGCATATATGGTCCTATGTACAGGTATACAGAGATATAGCAGGCAGGTCAGTTCCAGACCATCCAGCATTGCAATAAAGTAAGTCCCAAGAGATTTTTTTGGTTGCCCAATGCTTATAGGTTAGTGGTTCAAGCTTACCAGTCACTCATCGGAAACCCTATACAAGGTCGCTATGGGTCGGAACCGAGTCAATGGCACATAACAACAACAACAATAATGCTTATAAAAGTTAAATTTACACTATACTGTTGTATATTAAGTGTGCAACAGCATTATGAAAAAGTTTAAAATATTGTGAGAATTACCAAAATATGACTTAGAGCACATGCTTTTCAGAAAATTGTGCCCATAGACTTGCTTTCCGCAGGGTTGCCACAAACCTTCAATTTGCAAAAAGCCCAGTATCTGTGGCGTGCAATAAAGTGAAGGTCAACAAAATGAACAAGGTATGTCTGTCTGTTTCACCACTCATCTGCTGAAGAGTATCTTGGTTGCTTCCAATTTTTGGAAATGATGGATACATTGGGTTAACTTCTTAGCCCAAAGCAGAAATTAGCTTCAGAAAAGTCTTTATCATCACAGGCTCTGGCTATCAAATTTTAATTGATGTCTGAGAAGTTAATACTTTAGTTGCAAGATAAAGAAGTAAAAGAGAATCTATATAAATTCTATACAAATGAAAGTCTATACGAATGAAAATCTATAACATCACCATCTGTTTTCTTTTATTTTGGCTTCTATTGCTATAATAGTAATCAAGAATGTAAAAAAACAGAATTATTATAAATTAATGCTTATTGAGATAGTATGCCAGAATTGCAATAATATAGCTGCATGTAGGATTGACATATTTTTCAGAAATAATTTAATTTCTCTGGTATCACAGTCAAAAGATATAAACAGTTACGAGTATTTAATCATATGTCTATAAAAACATTGTGATTTAGGTTTGGAAACATAAAAGTATTTAAATATTTCTCACTTTATAGTTTTTTTCTTTTCAACTTTGCTATTTAGGAGGGACATTCTAGTCTGGCACTGTAGGATAAACACTTGACTGATAACCACAAGGTTGACTGACAGTTCAAACCCATCAGCTTCTCCTTGTAAACCTTAACCAGGGTCTCTATGAGCCAAAACTTACTCAAAGGCACTTAACAAAAACAACATTTCCACTAAACTAAATGTTAGACTTAAAATGCAAACAGCTTTCACTTTTTATGTTCTTAATGGGTATATAACTAATAAGTGGCCTCTAATTTTTCTATCACACACTAATGATATTTAATAATAATGATATTTTTCCATGTTATTTTTCCTGTGCTAAACTAATTTTGTATAACAGATCAAAGCCAGATGGCTGGATAAAAAAGATCAGTTCTTTTAGGTTGCATTTGGAATAAAAATCAGCAGCTAATATAATCTAATAGTGTCCCCATGTTCACTAATTAGATCTGCTGTCAACTAACATGTTGAAATGTACATAATTTAGACTAAAATCTAAGGAAAACAGTACAGTTACTGGTTTTCTGTGTTCTTTAAAAGAAACAATTTAAAAATTTTAAGAGAAATTGTACCTTATCTTTTGGAAGTATTTTTTAAATGTAATTACACACAACTTAAACTTGTCATTAGATAAGAATACAGCTGAATACATTCTCAAAAGTCAAGTGCTTTATTTATGTATATTTATAAAATGACACTTCATATTGTTGCAAGTTTTTAAAGCTTATTTAAAAGTAAATGCCCCACCAAACCCAAACCACTGCCATTGGATTAATCCTGTGACCTTATATAGGGTTTCAAAACTGTAAAGCATTATGGGAGCAGATAGCCTCATCTTTCTCTCTCGAAGTGGCTGTTGGGTCTAACTGCCAACCTTGTAGTTAGCAGCCAAATGCCTAACTCACAGTACGACCAGGGCACCTTCAAAGCCCCACAGGAATAAATATATTTGTAATGCTACTTTGTAAGTGTATTACTAAAATCCTGGGCAATGAATATGACTTTATTAATAAGTAAGACTACCCAATAACCCAATAACAAAAAATCAGGTATTATTTTGTCTTTTTTTTCCTTGGCAAATTATTGTGATTTTCATCCGTGTTTAAAGACTTCATGTGAAAGCCTATAATGATTCTTATTTAATGGTCTCCTTCCATGGGGACAGGATGGAAGAAAGCCATTTTAAAAGATCAAGTGATGAAAAGGAGCTTTTATACAAATAAATCTGTTCAAACTTGAAAGCAAAGCTGTGGTACTGTGGGTTAATGTGCTGAACTGGAAAGTCTGTTTGAATCATAAGGTTGGCAGTTCAAGCTCACCAGATGTTCCTGGGAAATCTTATACAGGGTCGCTATGGGTCGGAACTGACTTGATGGTACCTAACAACAACAACAAAGGAATACAGTAGGTCCCTAGGTGACCCAAATGGCAGTTTGAACTCATCAGCAGTGCCACAGAATAAAATATGTGTCGATCTGCTTCCACAGAGATTACAGTGCGGAAAACCATTCAGAGCAGCTTTACTGTGCAGCACATGCAGTAACCAGCAACTAGAACCTGCTCTACAGCACTGGGGTTTGTTGTTACTGCTGTTTTAATGAATACAGGTCACTTGAAATCTTACCTTTACCCCAATAAGTTAAAACAAAAACCCAAAAGGACAGTCAGGCCACAATCACTAGCAGGTTTATTTGAGTAATTAGAAACTGAATATACCATATTATGGTGACCTTGTAGGATAAGTACTGGACTGATAACCACAAGTTTGGTGGTTCAAACCCACCAGTCACTCTGGTTTCATACTGCCTGTTGTTATTGCTGTTAAGTGAAGTTCCAACTTATAGCGACCCTGTATGAGGTTTCCGAGGAGTGGCTGGTAAGTTTGAACAGCCGACCTTGCAGTTCAAACCAACCTTGCAGTCCAGTGCATTAGTCTTCAGCGTAAGGTGGTGCAAAGAGTGAACTGGTCTCAGGAGACAGCCAAAAGGTTGGAAGACAGCCTGGCAATCTACTGCCAAAACATCAGCCACTGAAAACCCTCTGAAGCACAGTTCTACTTGGACACCTACGGAATTGCCATGAGTCACAAGTGACTCAAATGACCACAGTTAAGATCTGAATAACTCCATGTTCATTGGAAGTAGTAAAATAAAAGACTAGCATCTGGAAAGCTTTCACATCTGCAGTTTGAATTCAGAGACATTTTTTAAATGTTTGCATAACAGAAAATTACCTGTCATGCCTGTCAGAAGACCATATTACTTTAATACAATTAACAATTGCCCCTCTTGGTTTAGGCCAGAAATGATCGATGCTGCAAGAAACAAAGCTCGAGTGAAAGCTTGCTACATAATGATCGGACTCACAATTATTGCCTGCTTTGCTGTGATTGCATCAGCCAAAAGGGTGAGTATCTCTTAAAATTATAGACTTGTGAATTTAAAGCATGTTTTGTTAATAATTACTAGTGATTGGAATGCAAAGGTTGCAAACAATCAGGAAGGAAACAAAGAGGGAGGGTCAGTAATTGGGAAATAGACCTTGGTGATAAAAATGATGCTGGAGATCACATGATAGAATTCTGCAAAATCAATTAATTCTTCATTGTAAATACCATTTTGAAACAACTTAAAAGACACATGGGACTCACCAGATGGAATACACAGAACTCAAATTACTTACACCTATGCAAAGAGATGGTGGACAAGCTCCATATCATCAGCCCAAACAAAGCCAGTGGCAGATTGTGGAACAGACTAGCAATTGCTCATATGCAAGTTCAGGCTGAAACTGGAGAAAATTAAAACAAGCCCACGGGAAATGTGACCTTGAACATATCCCACCTGAATTTAGAGATCATCTCAAGAACACACTGTATGCATTAGACACTAATGACAGAAGACCAGAAGAGTTGTGGGATGACATCAAGAACATCACACAGGGAAAAAGCAAAGGTCATTAAGAAGACAAGAAAGAAGGAAAGATCAAAATGGGTGTCAAAATGGAACTTGCTCTCCAGTGTAGAGATGCTAAAACTAATGAAAGAAATAAGGAGATAAAAGAGTTGAACAGGATATTTCAAAGGGCAGCTCGAGAAGACAAAGCCAAATATTATAATGAAATGTACAAAGCCCTGGAATTAGATAACCAAAGGGAAGAATACTCAGCATTTATCAAGATGAAAGAACTGGAGAAAAAATTCAAGCCTCGACTTGCAATATTGAAAGGTAACATATGACCAAGAACCAATGATACTGAAGGAAGAAGTCCAAGGTGGAAGGCATTAGCAAAGAACAAGGGTCTGGGAATTAATGGAATGCAAATTGAAATAGTTCAACAAACTGGTGTAGCATTGGAGACACTCACTTATCTATGCCAAGAAATTTGGAAAACAGATACCTGGCCAACTTATTGGGAGAGATCCATATTTGTGCCCATTCCAAAAAGACGTGACCCACACAATGCAGAATCATTTGGGCAATATCATTAATATCACATACAAGTAAAATTTTGCTAACGATAATTCAAAAACAGCTGGAACTGCCAGAGGTTCAGTACAGATTCAGAAGAGGACAAGGGAAGAGGGATATCATTGCTGACATTAGATGGGTCTTGGCTGAAAGCAGACAATACCAGAAAGATGTTTGCCTGTGCTTTATTGATTATTCAAAGGCTTTTGATTGTGTGGATCATGACTAGCTATGGACAACATGGTGGAGAATGAGTATTTCAGAACACATTATGGTACTCATGAGGAACCTGTACATAGACCAAGAGACTGTCATTCAAACAGAACAAGGGGACACTGAATGGTTTAAAATTAGGAAAAGTGTGCACCAAGGTTGTATTATTTCACCATACTTATTCAATTGGTATGCTGAGCAATTGAAGCAAGAAGCTAGATTACATGAAGAAGAATGTGGCATCAGGATTGGAGGAAGATTCACTAATAACCTGTGATATATAGAATGATTCAACCTTGCTTGTTGAAAGTGAAGAGGACTTAAAGTACTGATGAAGATCAAAGTCCCTAAGCTTCATTATGGTTTGCACCTCAATGTAAAGAAAATAAAAATCCTCACCACTGGACATTGTAATTGTCAAAGACTTCATTTTGCTCAGCTAAACCATCAACACTCATGGAAGAAGCAGTCAAGAATGCAAATGAAATATTGCTTTAGGTAAATATGCTGCACAAGGTGCAACCTCTTTAAAGTATTCAAGAGCAAAGATGTCAGCTTGAGGACTAAGGTACATCTGACCCAAGCCATATTTTCAATAGCCTCATATGAATGTGAAAGTTGAACAATGAATAAGAAAGACCATGTAAGAATTGATGCATTTGAGTTATGGTGTTGGAGGAGAAGATTAAAAATATCATGGACTGCCAGAAGTATAGCCAGAGTGCTCCTTAGAAGTCAAGATGGTCAGACTTCGTCTCTCATATTTCAGACATATTATCAGGAAGGACCAGTCCCTAGAAAATGACATCATGCTTGGTACAGAGGAGGGTCAGCAAAAAAAAGACCCCCCCTCCCCCAATGAGATAGATTGGCACAGTGGCAGCAGCAATGGGTTCAAGAGCAGCAGTGTTTCTGAGATTGGCGCAGGATCAGGCAGTATACATAGGATGTATGCGGGTCAGTACAGACTTGATGGCATCTAATAACAACAGGGGACTTAGTTCTCAATTTGAGGATTATTGCTGTTCTGGCAATGTAAGAAAAATTTAGTCTTTGAGACGTGGAACTATCGACAGTTATCTATCTTGTTTTGGTTGGTATTAAATGCTGTTTAGTTGGTTTCAACTCATAGCAACCCTGTATAGGATGTCTGAGGGGCACCTTGTGGTTTTGAACTGCTGACCTGTTGTTTGGAGTCTAGTACTTATCCTACAGTGCCACACCATGGAAATGTTCATGCAAATTTGAGTCAACAAAATAATTAGTTGTCCAGGAGTGACACAAACTTGTATTCATTTATATGAAAGACCCAACAAAAACAGGATGGTTTATAATTCAGTTAAAATCTCTTTTTGAGTGAGAGCTGTCCAAACTAGACAATTTCTTAATACATAAACTTAGGTTATTGCATAGAATCATGAAAGA